ACGCTTTGAACATGTTGTCGAGTGTTATCTTGAATTCGTTGAGTGTGTTATAATCTCGAAGGAATGTTGTACTGAACATTTGTAATGCTATTTCCCTAGCAGTAGAACTCCTGTAACTATTCTTTGCTGCACACCGTGTTTTCAATGTGTTTCGCTGATTTTGAGCACTGCAAAGTTGTATCTCCCTACTTCCGTTGTTGTTTGACTGGTCCTCTCGGCCTTCCACATCGCCCAGACATTCCATGTACCTCTAAAACTGTTGCTCTGATTGTTAGGAGGAGAATCGATCTCGTGACTTCCAAAAAATCTCAGCTTTCATCATGAGGTGTCATAATTCTTAGTTTAACATGTTTATTCTGGTTAGCGCTTTTTAGCAAGGTTGTTTTCTACGAAATGGGGTTGCTGATCACACGCCCAACTCTTCTCACTTGTGTAGATCTGGGACCAGCATTAGCACTAGTAGAGCTACAGATCGAGTTTAATTCGTCACATACAACATAAAAATAGCCTATGGTTCTTACTTTTAATCAACAGATAAAATGAATAAGAAATAAAAAACTATTGACGACTTTCAATAACATTTCAACTTGTTCGTGAAATAGTATGACATTCCAGTGAACATGAATCAAATATATTGCACTTCATGAACATCATGTGTTTCAAACAATTCAGTGACAGAGTGATATACTGTTATTTGTTGCATTTCTATTCACTACACAACCTACGTCAAACTACTGAAACGACAACTAACAAGTACTGTGTAGATGAAACGAAATTAATTCCATGTGCCATATCATCATACTACTAATATTTCAATGCCCTGGTACGGCCGAGAGTGGGGAGAGTTCGCTCTCCCTCTCGAAATGCTCTCATATGGCCACGCGTATATAGCCTCTGCCAGGGAAGTCCTACTCACTGCGTTCTCCTGGCGGGGGTGTTGTTTACGAAAATGAGAGAACGAAAAGCGAATGTCCGGCGCTTTAACCGGATTCCAAAACAATAGTGCACTTGGGCTCCAGTATCCTGATGGAACAAATAGCATATGAACCAATCGTTGGTCACCGGCTACCATGGGACGACATCTCCTTACGATGCTCCACTGCCTTGTGGATCAGACCCTCAAGTCAAAGGCTCGGGGTGTGCCCCCCTAAGAAAATCACCTGCTTCGGTCTGGGCACCCGGGAAGTGTCACTGCCCTCACATATATCGAATGAGATTTGTGTGGCGCATATGTATTTGGTGCCTCTTTGTACCAATATCTATGTGTTGAAATAAAATAAATAAATAATTCTTATCAGGAAGTACATACATGATCGTTTGACACGTCCTACAAAACCAAATCAACTTAATAATCATGTCATCTGTCACTCTATGATATGTTAATGTTAGACCAAATCAGAGGTCACACATTCTCAAAATGCCACACAAACGGAGAGTGTTATGAAGGTTTCTGGCCACACGCATATTATTGTATTGCATTGATAAGTGATTAGTCAAAACTTGAAATTCATGTGAATGTGAGTTGACAATTTCGGAGGTTGAAACAGATTCATCTATGAACCGTTTGATATGAGAAATATTTCCATCATTTTGTTTTGTCTATTCTATTTTGATGTTGATTATTAACTCCTTTTTCTCTTTGTGTATACACGACAGACAATATGATTAATATAATCGTTTGATGTGAAAAATATTTCTTCTTTATCATTAAATGAACGATAAGAAGACCAAAATAATTCCAGACATTTACTTAACAATTGACAGTGGTAAGTATTAGAACAAACTCATCCTATCATTTTAACAACGAATTCCAAGACTTGCAAGATATATTGGAAAAGGATTAGCAAAGAAGTAAAGGAAGTACATAATATATTTCAGCCAACCATGATGATTAACAGTTTATAGTCCTTTGTTTGATTCTATATTGATCTTATCCAACTGTGACCTGTAGTTTTAGTATTAGTAAATTCAGTAACGCGATGCGTTCATACTATAACATTAGAGTGACAACCATCCAGTTCTTCCTGATTCTCAGATCACAGTTCCTCAATTAATATAATGACTCTTCATCAGAAATATATTCAATTCATCATATGTCAGTTGTTTCATTTATTTCCTTTAAAAATTTTGGATTATTTAAGAGTTCCTATCATATTGAAATATCGGCATATGAACGAGGAATACCATTTTCAATAAATCCTCAACAGCTTTTACGTTTATAAACCCAAAATAATGATTAAAAGAATGACAAAGGTTATCATTATTATCATCACTATTATTATTATTATTATTATTATTATTATTATTATTATTAGTAGTAGTAGTAGTAGTAGTAGTAGTAGTAGTAGTAGTGGTAGTAGTAGTAGTGAAATACACTTCAAAATTACAACATATGAATGCAGGATTGTTAGTAAAATTGAATAATTCTGTTCATGTTGAAATGATCAGTGTGTAATATCAACTTGAAGAAGTTGATTATTCAATTAATAATCAGAATAAATACAAATTACGTAAGGTGAGAAACAATGATGTAATTGTAGATCAACATTCAATTTTTGTTCAAAGACCATGTAGTGTATGAATTCAGTAAGAAATAGAAACGTGTGGTAAGTGCAAAGTAATTCTGTTACGTGTTTATAAGATTATTATTAACAATAGTAATTCAAAAATACATGAAAAATACTAGTATTTGTAGATGTATTTAATTAATGAAATGACAAAACTGAAGACTGAATGAATATTGGTCAAATTGCTATATATAGAGCTTGCTATATTACATGCAAATAATATTTTAGCTTATAGTGTATATCACAGATTGCATTTAGTTAGACAAACGACATAAACCAGGAATAGCCGAAAAGCTATTTCATTATAGTATGGGATGTCTCAGCAAAGTAGTTCCGTGACCCCTACTGAAGATCGAATCTAGTATCTCCAAGTCTCATCACAAACTCTTAATCACTATATATACAAAAAAAACACTAGATTTTGGTTCAATGATTCATAAGTTAGGTGTAATTTCCCGGACCGAATGTCCTTGGTTCGATTCTAAGATGTATCGTTGTTGCTCACTGAGAAGGAGTCTTTTAATAATACGAAACACTTTTTTTTACTACTTTCTGATCTTCATTACTTATTTAAATAAGTTAAATCACTTATTTAAAATATACAATTTGATAACTTCTACAAGTCCTTATATCAGTATATCCCTCCTGAAATAAATATGCAAAAGACATTTACAACATACAATGTTATATTTAATAGCTGAAAGCTACATTAAAACTACAAAGGGGTCGATAATAATAATAAGAAGAACAATCGAAGATGGTTACAAACAACATTGAAAATGGAAACTGTTCCAATAAAAGAAATATTGATTGAGTACATTGAAGTCAGAAATCATTATTAAAAAGTGTTAAAACTTTGTAGATTTCAAATGATAAATGAACTTTATATCATAGATTTATGTAAATATTTAGAATTATTACACAATAGATAAACATTACACACTATATGAATAATAACGGTTTACTAAATATCACTGTTTCAGTGTAATACAAACAACAACAAAAACAAACAAAAAAAACAAACAAACATGAATCATCTAAAAAAAGAAAAGCAAAAAGGAAAACGAAATAAACATAAAAATAACAAAAGTATTCAAATTCTATCATTAAACTTATAGGGGGTTTAACCCTTCAAATTTGAATAAAGAACATGATATAGAACAAAAAGATCTGATTTATGAGATGATTACGATCAAAGAACAAAATATTGAAAATCAATATGATTTTTTGATAAATTATTATAAATCATTAATTAAATAGAATGAGTATTAAATTCATTCATTAAAATCAAAATTAATAACTTATTATACTACTTATAAATTTATTGATAGTTTATAAGTAGAAAAGAAATTATAATGATGATAAAAAATATATGGATTATTTATAAAAATGTTTAATTATTTATTAATGTAATATAAATCTAATATAAATTTTTATGAAGAAATAGTAGTTCGATTAGATTCTATTGAAGATGATAACATAGTGTTTAAAGATGATAAAGTTGTCCCTGAAATAGGTTGAATAGTAGTTGTTTCATTGATTCCATTCAATGTTATATTCTGTTCATTATGTATCATTTCTGTTATTTCATTTATATGATTGATTGTTTGATTTAGTTCATCGATAATTTGATCAATCATAATTGTTGTTTCATTTATTTGATGCATTGTATGTTCATCTATTATATCAGTTTTAGTATTCATTTCATTTATTGTAGTTTGTATAGATTCATCTGTTGTACCTGTGTCTCCTCCACACATTGAATAGTGTACTAAAGACAATAATACAATCACTTTGGTAATCATGATGAATACTTGAATACAAAACAATATAGTTCTAGTTCAAAAATATCAACCTTTATATATATATTAATGTGTTAGTGACATTTTTGATGTATTATAGATTTTATATGTAATTAAGATGATTAAAATTAGATTATTATTAATATGATGGACAAGTTGAAACTAATGACCCAAATAGTACGGTATATTACATATGCATGATTTAAAGAAACGTCATGGTAGTACTCAGCAATATGACGTGACAAAATAATATGATCATTAAAAGTATTACATAATAAAATTAATACGGATTATTCACAGCAGTTCAAAAAATCATTATGTGAATAAACAGAATAAAATCAATAAATTTATTAGAACGTTCTGTTTTCCTCGTCTACACCAAGATAATGCTAATTTGCCTCAGATGAATATCTACACTAAATTGCCTTTCAGTGTCTATTCTACAGGACATTAACACAACTCAGATCAAGAACACGTGACTAGCCAGACAAGAACGTATGTATATTTCCACACTAAAAACTGACGACAATCACAATAATAATATAGGTAGGAGAATATTTAACTCTAAAATCTGTCACATTATCTAAAAATCTGACGAAGCGAACAATCAATCATCATACTCGCCCAAATATCACCTCCGTCGTGAAGTAGTAGTAGTAGTAGTAGTAGTAGTAGTAGTAGTAGTAGTAGTAGTAGTAGTAGTAGTAGTAGTAGTAGTAGTAGTAGTAGTAGTAGTAGTAGTAGTAGTAGTAGTAGTAGTAGTAGTAGAAGTAGTAGTAGTAGTAGTAGTAGTAGTAGTAGTAGTAGTAGTAGTAGTAGTAGTAGTAGTAGTAGTAGTAGTAGTAGTAGTAGTAGTAGTAGTAGTAGTAGTAGTAGTAGTAGTAGTAGTAGTAGTAGTAGTAGTAGTAGTAGTAGTAGTAGTAGTAGTAGTAGTAGTAGTAGTAGTAGTAGTAGTAGTAGTAGTAGTAGTAGTAGTAGTAGTAGTAGTAGTAGTAGTAGTAGTAGTAGTAGTAGTAGTAGTAGTAGTAGTAGTAGTAGTAGTAGTAGTAGTAGTAGTAGTAGTAGTAGTAGTAGTAGTAGTAGTAGTAGTAGTAGTAGTAGTAGTAGTAGTAGTAGTAGTAGTAGTAGTAGTAGTAGTAGTAGTAGTAGTAGTAGTAGTAGTAGTAGTAGTAGTAGTAGTAGTAGTAGTAGTAGTAGTAGTAGTAGTAGTAGTAGTAGTAGTAGTAGTAGTAGTAGTAGTAGTAGTAGTAGTAGTAGTAGTAGTAGTAGTAGTAGTAGTAGTAGTAGTAGTAGTAGTAGTAGTAGTAGTAGTAGTAGTAGTAGTAGTAGTAGTAGTAGTAGTAGTAGTAGTAGTAGTAGTAGTAGTAGTAGTAGTAGTAGTAGTAGTAGTAGTAGTAGTAGTAGTAGTAGTAGTAGTAGTAGTAGTAGTAGTAGTAGTAGTAGTAGTAGTAGTAGTAGTAGTAGTAGTAGTAGTAGTAGTAGTAGTAGTAGTAGTAGTAGTAGTAGTAGTAGTAGTAGTAGTAGTAGTAGTAGTAGTAGTAGTAGTAGTAGTAGTAGTAGTAGTAGTAGTAGTAGTAGTAGTAGTAGTAGTAGTAGTAGTAGTAGTAGTAGTAGTAGTAGTAGTAGTAGTAGTAGTAGTAGTAGTAGTAGTAGTAGTAGTAGTAGTCATTTATAAGCCTAAGTTTAGCAAGAAAGACATAAATTAAATCTGTAATTATAGATGAATATCTTAATTGAGCTTCTGACCACCATAATTATTCAACTGAGCCATTTGAAACTTGTCAAGCCTATCCACCAAATATATATCATTCATCGATGTGAATAGACACAGATTGACGCACTGTAATGGCTAACCGAAATTTATGGTCTGTCGAATTATTCATTATGGTTGAATCGAAGTGAACAGGTGGAAATGAAAGACAGTTTGATCACTCAATACATATTCACTGATCACTTATTTATTACATGAAAAATGTCAAAAGAAAATTGTAATAGCATGATCAATTGTTGACTCCATTTTAAATTTCTAATCACATGAACTCTATGCCGAATCACGAACATGGTAAACAAACTAATATAAATATGCTTGGATATCTCTCTGATAGAATTATACACTCTCAGTAATCTGTATTCACAATGATTATCAAGGTGATTGCAATGTTGTGTTTGTCACAATATCTGATGTGTGAAGTGGTGATGATGTCGACACCAGCTTCCTCAAACATTGAAGGCGATAATGTGAGTGAAGTGGAAGACATGGTGACAGATGATGGGCAGGACCCGACATCAGATGATAGAGATGGCAATTTCGTCATTAATCTCATGATGAATATCATAGTGCATTTGAGAGACCTGTTTGAATTTTGGGAGGAATCGACGCCAAGTTATAATACAACTATGGCTGTATAAAATGAACTTCATGAAGTTCATGGCATTAGATTACATGGATTGAGCAAACATAATCATGTAGTGTGTGTTTTTAAATACATTGATAAATCATTCATATAAATGAACTGATTTCAATATTTATTAATGATCTGTACTACTCTTGTATACAACATATCAGTCAGTTGATGAGAAATAAATGTTAGTTTATCAAATAGTCTTCATTACTGAAATATGTTATGGTAAATGCATTTATGGCTAAAGAGTGATTATGCGAAAATTGAATTTGTATTGAATACTTATGAATGGATTAGATATTAGGATTAGACATTGATTTGTTGTTGACTAGTATGTGTGTACTATGTGATGAGTATTATATTGATTTGTTCAAATGAAATGGACATAGTTATAAGGCTGATTGGATTTGTTCTATCTGTGTGATCACGAGGTGAGACTGAATGATGAGTCAGTAGATGAGCGCAATCGAGTTGTCGTGAACTGTGATTGTATACTACTAGAATTGTTATTTGTTACCTGTTACTCAACAATTCCTCAAGGATAATGCTATCTCAAAGTAAATCACAATAGAAGATGCAATTTTACGATTGAATTTTATGTATATTTATAACGTGAATGTTTGTTAAATTCTCGTAAACAATATATTCCCCTACCACCTATTGTCTTCTCTACAATCGCATAAAATGAATGGTCATTGGAAATAGTTTAGTGTGTAGCTGAAGCATTCAGATTATTATGCTACTAACGAAGTTAATTATAATGATGGTAAGAAAGTATGTGCTGAAAAACAACCATTAATATCAGTGAATGCATCACTTGTTACTGAAATAATGTTTAGTAATAGTCATCTGGTATGAATGAAATCCATTCTTGGCAAGTCGAATTTATCAGTGTAAGAATAGAAGAATGAATAAATATTCTAACTCTTTTCATACATTCAACATGGATAGGTTATCTACCTATAATAACAAAGTGGTTGATTCCATGTTTTTTTTGGCTCCAAACTACAAGAAGAATCAAAATGCTTTGTTGGTCTAGTGATTTTGTGTCAATCGTTTCAGTATTCGTTGTTATGAAGATACATTGTCACATTCTTTGGACGGAATATTGAATTTATTTCTCACCGAATAGCTTTAATAGAAAGTTACTGCTTCGTTACTAAGCTAGTGATATAATACGTTCGTTCACCATGATACGCGAAGTACTTTGCTTGTTTGCTTATCACTACATAGAAATAGATGAGAATTATCTTAGAACTATAAAAAAACTAATTTAGAATGAACATTTTGAATTTATTTCTCACTGTTAAACAAACAAACAAACACACGAGAAGTTCCGTCTTTCATAATCAATTACTTTATATTAGATACGAAGTCAGGAATAAATTATACACTAACTGAGTAAGTAGTTTTAGTATGCAGTCCAAATTATATAAGATCAACTATTACTTACTTACTTACTTACTTACGCCTGTTACTCCTAATGAAGCATAGGCCACCAACCAGCATCCTCCAACCCATTCTGTGCAGGGCCTTCCTCTCTATTTCCATCCAATTCTTGTTCATTTTTCTCATGTCTATTTCCATTTCCCGGCGTAATGTGTTCCTCGATTTTCCACTTCTCCTTTTGCCTTGAGGATTGCAAGTGCGGGCTTGTTTTGTGACGCAGTTGGGTGCTTTCCTCAATGTGTGTCCTATCCAATTAACGCGCTTCTTCCTGATTTCTTCCTCCTCTGGGATCTCGTTTGTTCTCTCCCATGGTAGGTTGTTGCTGATAGTGTCAGGCCAACGAATCCAAATTATTTTGCGTAGACAACTGTTAATAAACACCTGTATTTTCTGGATGATGGCTTTCGTAGTTCTCCAGGTTTCCGCTCCATACAGTAGAACTGTTTTGACATTTGTATTGAAAATACTGACCTTGGTGTTGGTTGACATACAATTGTTTAGAGTTCCAGGTGTTCCTCAATTGTAAATATGCTGCTCTTGCTTTGCCGATCCGCGCCTTCACATCTGCATCAGATCCACCCTGTTCATCAATGATGCTGCCCAAATATGTAAAGTTTTTTTACATTTTCCAAAGTTTCTTCATCAAGTGTGATTCGATTGTTGCATACTATGTTGTATGGGAGAAGCTTGCTTTTCCCTTTGTGTATATTGAAACCTATTACTACCGAGGTTGCTGCTACATTGGTCGTCTTCTCCTGCATTTGTTGTTGCGTGTACAATAGAATGGTCAGATCATCTACGAAGTCTAGATCGTCCAACTACATCCTAGATGTCCACTGTAGCCCGTTTTTCTCTTCAGATGTTGAAGACTTGATGATCTATTCGATCACCAGGAGAAAGAGAAAGGGTGAGAGTGAGCAACCTTGCCTGACACCGGTCTTTACCTCGAACGAGTCTGTGAACTGTCCTCCATGCAAAATTTTGCAGTTTAACCCATCACATGAATTCTGTATGATATTGACTATCTTTTGAGATACGCCGTATTGTCGAAGAAGCTACCATAGTGTTGTTCTGTCCACCATGTCAAATGCTTTCTCGTAGTCAATGAAGTTGATGTAGAGTGATGAATTCCAATCAATTGATTGTTCCACAATGACCCGTAGTGTTGTGATTTGGTCTGTACACGATCGATCATTACGGAATCCTGCCTGTTGGTCACGAAGTTTGGCGTCTACGGAGTCCTTCATCCAGTTTAACAATACCCTGTTGAAGACTTTTCCTGGTATTGAGAGAGGAGTGATGTCCCTGCAGTTATCACAGTTGCTGAGATCGCCTTTCTTTGGTATTTCGACCAGAAGTCTTTCTTTCCAGTCTGTTGGTATTTGTTCCTCATCCCAAATCTTATTGAAGAGAATGTGGAGTATCCTTGCAGTTGACGCTACGTCTGCTTTTAGTGCCTCTACTGGAATGTTTTCTGGTCCTGCTGCTTTGCCGCCCTTGATTTGTCTGGTGGCCATGCTGATTTCTTCAAATGTTGGTGGGGGTCCGTAGGTGCTGCTTCGATGTTGGGTGGGTTCAGTGGGGCTGGTCGATTCAAGAGTTCTTTGAAGGGTTCTACCCACCTGTTTCGTTGTTCTTCATTGTTGATGATCACCTTGCCTTCTTTGCTTTTTACTGGTCGTTCTGGTTTACGGTGATTTCCAGAGTTTCTTTGTCGTGTCATACAGTTGTCTCATGTTTCCTTCTCTTGCAACCTTTTCCGCCATCGTTGCTAAATCTTCCACATATTTATGTTTGTCGGTGGTGATGCTTCTCCTCACTTGTTTGTTTACTTCTGTGTATTCAGCTTGTGCCTTGACTTTCTCTGCTCTTGTTCGGCTGTTATTGGTTGCTGCCTTCTTGTTCCTCCTTTCGTGAACCTTATCCAGTGTATCAACAGTGATCCATTCCTTGTGATGGTGTTTCTTGTGGCCCAGAACCACATGACATGTTGAAGAGATTGCTTCTTTGATCCCTTTTCAGTTGCTCTCCATAGTAATTTCTTCATATACGGTGTTGTCTACTCCAACCTTGGCATTTAAATCTCCCATCAGAATGGTAGAGTATTTTGTTGAAAACTTCTCGACGATTGACTGCAGCCTGTTGTAGAATTGATCTTTAGTGTCTTCATTGTTGTCGTTGGTAGACGCATAGCATTGGATGACGTTACTGTAATACCCTCTTTCTTTGTTTTGAACGAGGCTTTGATGATCCTTGGTCCATGAGATTCCCATCCTATAAGTGCATTTTATGCTTTTTTGGACAGCATCAATGCAACTCCTTGTGCATGTGGGGCAGTTTCATCTTCATGGACAGAGGATAACGGAAGCTCCCCTGAAGCTAGTCGTTGTTGTCGAATTTGAGTCCAATGTATATCACTGAGCCCAAGCACTTCTAGGTTGTATCTCTTCATTTCTGCAGCAATTTGGAAGACTCTCCCGGTCTCCCACATTGTACGAGTATTCCATGTACCTAAATAAATGGTTACTCTGGTTGTCAGAAGAGGCACTGGACTCGTGACTTTCGAAGGAATTCGGCTTTCATCATGAAGTGTCATAACACTTCCAAATGAAGAACTTCTGACTCCCAGGGCAGAGTTTAGAAGGTTTGAATATTTTTTTCTGGTTAGCGTATTTTTAGCGAGTTAGTTTTGTATGGGATAGAGACGCTAACCCAATGCTCAACCCACATTCTTTATCCGGGCTTGAGACCGGCTGTAGCACCTGGAGTGACTCCAGGCGGAGTTATCAGATCAACTATGAGACCATAATATTCATTC